GAAATGGCTCACTTGCATTAGGTGTCGATGATACCGATGCAACAACTTTTAGGGACGAGGAAAACCTAAATTTTGGGATGGAAGACTTTACATATGATGCTGCCAATGAGACATTTGTAGCACCAAGTCACTATCAACCATCCTTCCAACCTTCATCACCCAACCAATCTACACCACCCTTTGAGTCCCCTTTAGGTGTTGAGGTTCCTCAAGGAAAAACAAGTCAAAAGAAGCGAAGTAGATCTGAGTATGATGGGAGTTCTAACTCAATTGGTTCCACCAACCAAGCCAAAGTTCTTGAAACCATATCCACCAATTTTGAGAAAATCTATACTCTAATGGAGAAAAGAGAAAGAGATAGAGAGAATAGTATTTGGGATGCTATGAAGGATGTACCAAACTTGGATGACAATGCTCGATTCTTGGCGATTGAATTGCTTAATACTAAAGTCAAACAAGACATGTTCTTGAAGATGTCACCCGAAGAGCGCTCATCTTGGATATCCTTCAAATTGGGATGAATTGTTATTTGGATCACCTTGGTTTTTGGTTGAAAATTGTTTACTTTGAATTGTTGAACTATGAATTTGATTTTTGGTATTTTTGTTGAACTATGTATTTTGGTTGTCATTTTGGTTGAACTATGCATTTGGTTTAATTTGTTATATTTTGATTGAACTTTTTCCTATTTTTGTTGAACTATATATTTTGGTTGGACTATGTATTTGGTTTTCATTGTTGTATTTTAATTTCCATGAATATGCTATTTTTTTTTTCACACCATGAACAAAAAGTGGTGACCAACTAAAATAATATGTATGAAAATCACTAGAAACGATAAAGTAATATGACCAACTAAAACTATCATCTATACAAAGTAATATGAGGTCCTCATGCAAACAGTACGTATCCATTAATCACTAGAAACAATAGCTCTTATTTCATTCAAATTGATTGTTCTAATTAATATGTATGAATTCTTTTTTATTTTTTATTTATCAACATGTTAATTACATGATAAAGAATTAATTTTTAATCTTTTATTTTCTTTGTAGTCTCATGTATTTGAATTCTACAAACAATGTCACTATCTACAATTCCTAATTTGTTGGTTAATTTTGATTTTTTTTTTTCACAGAGAGGAAGAAGAAATGGAGAATGAAGAAATTGGTGAACAAGAAATAGATGAAGATTTGGATGAAGAATTTGATGAAGGCATTAAGATTTTACTTATGGAAACTCAAACATTAATACAAGTGCTACATCAGTCAGAGGGGGATGAAGGACATATTGAGCGTCCGCTAACTCGACGACGAATTACTACTGTTGGATATGATTATATACATCAGGCATTGAACGAGGATCCCGCAATTTTCCGACAGGTATATAGGATGTATCCTGATGTGTTCCAAAAATTATGCACTATCCTTCCAGAAAAAAACACTCTTAAAGGACACAAGATATATTTGTGTTGAAGAAATGCTAGCAGCATTTTTACAAATTGTCGGTCAAAATTCTAGATATTGTGTC